ACAGCTGGGTCAAATGGTGGATCCATTCCCAGCTTTCCCAGGAATCTCCATACTGCTTTCCAAATTGGCCTCACCATTTTGCAGTCCCACCAGCAATGTACAAGTGAGCCTTAAATAATTCTTTAAGGAATGTCTAAATGTATATATTATAACCATAAATCAAATCTAAATCTTTCATTAAATAGTCCAAGAACAAGGAAACCAGTAAAAACTCAAGTTATAAAGGTTGAAGAGCAAATCTAAAACAAAACCTATGTTTTCTCAGAGCTTCCTTCCTCCTGAATTTTATTATCTTCCATGTGTGGCTCTTTGTGATATAGAGAAGCACTTACCTCCTTGGAAATCCTTTCAAGACATCTATATTCCATGCTCACCTCTAGTAAGAGCAGCATTTTATTAAACAAGGTGGCAAATATATGAAATAGAGAAATAATGACAACATACAAGGTAAGGAACAAATGTGACAAGTTAACTGCAAATCTTTAGTTTTACAGAGTAAAAAAAAATTTAAAGAGTCTATTTCCATCAAATTCTAGTCAATCTTAAGGAAGCACAAGGGAAGGAGGTTCAGGAGCTTTTCATTTGCTGTTCTTGACTGGTTCATGGGAGTATCAACATCCCTTGAAGTTATAAGTAAGCTGAGATCTCAAGCCATGGGTTCTGTAATCCAGACAGCCTGAAGCCTCCCCTGGTCCCATCCTCTATGCGTACTCCCATTACCCACATGGTGCCCAGGATGAACAGTGCCCTGCAGATCTTCTCTGATTCCCATGTACCCAGGCCAGCAAGCTCTGCCCCCTTCCCACTGGATGCTAACCTCACTATCCACCAACACTTCAAAGCCATACAGTGTGAGTTGCTTGTGGGATCAAATACATACATTTACCCTAAAATAAATCTTAGATTCAACCCACAGCTCCATTTCTAACTTTGACCTTCCATCTGAAAGAAAATGGTCAAAAGAAGCTGAGTGTGGACATCGGTGGTCATTTGGGGCATGTCAGTAAATTTAAATAAGCTGTAAATCACATGGTTTAGTAGAAAGCACTTGTACCAGACCAGCCCATGGCCTCCAGGGTGACTCGGCCACAGCTGGATGAGATCCCTCACCACCCCTGGACTCCCTGTTCTCTGAGTGTCCGTGGTGCCATTATTCAGCATTTCTTTTTTATTATTATTAGTTCTAAATCAGTTAGTTATACTTGTCAGTAGAAAGCTCTTTCATTCCATTCAGCATTTCTGACTTGACATCTATCACATAATCCTGAAGAATCTTAACAGTACAGATTACAGTTTTTATTGTACCCACAGGCAAACACAGACATCCCCAAGGCATTTTCTTGACTCTAGGTCACCACCACATATTTTTTTGATTCTAATACCACACCCCAATTATATACTTCTTAAAGTAAAAGATGACTGTTTTGTACGGGCTTGGAAAGATTCACCTCTGTACTAGAAGTCTGTGCTTACCAATCTAACTTTCTTTGCATGAAATCTGTTCCCAGGGAGGTTACCACACTACCAAATACCTGTGTGTTCAAATCGACTACTTGCATCATGACTAATGCTAACTTACAGTAGGCCCTTAACTATCTTGACACCACTTGTGAACCTTCACAGAACAGTTCTGAAAATAGAGCTCTCTGGAGAGATGACTAAACAGGATGTCAGTCTCTAATTGTCTCTACGCTGCCTTGACTTGCTTCAAGTCAAAACCATGTTATTTTTAAAAGTCACTCCCTCATCTTCAATATAAAGGCCTGGCACCGAACACACATACACTCGACCTCGCAACATAAACTACCGTTGGCACTGGGGCAGCTGCTGCCAGCCTGCAGACAGACAGACAGACTGCTGGGCTGCCTCTGGCTAACCTGTAAGCTCCCTACCAAACTTCCCCAAGGGCCTGCAGAGGTGGCCACTCCAGCCGGATGGGCCAGGAGCTACTCTGACAGCCAGTAGGAGATTCCACAACTCAGAACGAGGCGCTCTCCCACACAGAAGAGGTCTGCTTCCTCACCATTGGGATGGCCAAGCCAGATTCAAACACTGTCGTCAAACCTTGTCCATCTGGGACAGAAGTGATAAGATATAGGACCTTAGAATGCAGGTGACTCATCAGAGGGGCAGTTAAAAAAAAAAAAAAACAGTCGGTTGTACACAACAGAGATTTTTAAGATGAAAAAGAATGAAGGATAAAAATATACCTCAGACATAAGGAAAAGAACACCATTCCCTGAAACTCTTACTTGCAGTTTGCTATAAACGTATAAGAATGTACTGGGTTTTAATGTAAAAATGTGTTTCTTCCTTACTCTGTCACAGAGAAAGATGTGGCTTTAGAGCTTACGTGCTCCATCTATACAGTGCTGATGTGCTGTTGTCATTTATTCATGGTGGTTGCTTGGATGCCCCAGTGACAGCCAACTGACAGCTGGCCTATTTCATTCCTCTATTCCATCAAAAGTTCTTTGTCTATGAGCAGAAATGCTAAGAAACTCACTGACCCTAGTGCTGTCCTCCACAGTTCTAATGAACACTCTCTAGCTAGCACAGCCATTTCAGCTTCTGCAAAGAGCACTTACACTTTATTTGAGAACTATCCCTCCCTTGCATGTAGTCCAAATGGTTTAGTAGGAATTCTGCCTAAGCTCCAGAGTAGATATGCAACCCAGGCTCTGTCAATCAGGACACTGAGTCCCTCCAGCTAGGATGACTGGCCTGGAGCTAGCACCTTCCCTTTATCTAGTTATTGGAATTCTATTTCCCTCCCTTCAGTAATGCCTGGTTCAGGTTTGGGCACAAAATCCAAGTAGATCCAATTAGGAATCCTGGATCTACAAAGAAGACACAATATCTCAGTTCTGCTTCAGTCTGGAAGGTCATAAACTTGGGAGTGTATGGCACCCTTATTGTCACCACATTTACTTAGAGAATGAAGTCAAAAGGAAGGAGAGAGTTGGGAGACAGAGGGGACCAGGTCTTGATGATGTCACTCAATCCATAAATCAGGCCATGCTGGATTCTTCTGGACTCTGAGTTATCTGAGCCCATACATTCCTCTTTCTTTGTTTTGGCTAGTTTGAATAGGGTTTTCTATTGCTTGCACCCACAATAGGTCCATATTGTCAGAAAAAGAGAATAAATAAAACATTTATCAATAATTACACATCCTTCCTGCATGCCACCCTCTGCAGTCTGCCTCTCGGCCTCCCTCCAGCACTGAAGCAACTCTGGTGCCCAGATCACAGCCTATTGTAGAATCCAAAGCTGGGTCCATCTTCATCACGGCTGATCCCTCCACAGTATCTGAGCCTCTTGGTAGTTCCCTCCTTCCTGACTCTCCCAGGTTCCTTGCTTCCAAGACACCACTCTTTCCTGGTCCTCCTCTTGCTCTTCTCTTTCTCTCAGACTCTTCCACGGACCTCTCTCTGCCTTTAAATCTTGCTGCTCTTCAAGCCTCTTTTTCTTTCCATTGGAAGATTTGAACCCGTGACTGCAACATCTACCTGAGGTGGGTTTTTTTGTTTTTTGTTTTTTTTTTTTATCTTTGGGGTAGAAGTGGGACGAAGAAACATAGTAGAAGTTCCAAGAGCATGCAGCCTAAAGACAAGGGGCTGTGACAGAGTTATTTTGTAAGTCTCAACTTAGACCTCTCCTCCACACCTATATTTATGCCTTCTCTGAAAAACTCCATTTCAACATGCCTTCTTCCATTGCCAACCCCACCACTTAACCAAAAGCCCACACTGGAAGCTTGGGCTCCTCACCATCAAGTCTACTTTCAAAATCCTTCCTAAATCCACCCCTCCCTCTCCATTCCTATTGCCATGCTCATCTAGATTACTGCTGCCAGTGTGATGTTTCAAAAATTAAAACCTGACCATGTGGATTTCCTCATTTAGAATCCATCACTGTTTCCATTTATTTCCACTATATAGTATAAACTCCTTAGCATACAACATAGTTCTAGATACCATGCCCCTTCCAACCTTCCAGCCTCAGTTCCCCACAACAGCCCAAGCACATACAACCAGTATCCTAGGTACACACACATGCTCTGTCTTTCTCTATTTTGTGGTATAGGAGCTTAAACCCAAGGCCTTGCACATGCTTGGAGAGTACTCTACCACTAAGCTACATGCATCCTCACCTCTTTTAATTCTTACACATGCTTTTTAACAAATGAAT